TATCAGCTGACGACTTCTAGCCGCATTTAAGGACGGGATGATGCTAATTATTATCTAAATATGCAAAAAATCCAATAGAAAGCTTCCTCGAAATGAATTCGGGAGCTTTGGATATTTTTTACTTGTCGCGTCTTTTGCAAGAAGTAATTTTTGAAGAACTAGAACAGAATTGTCAATGAAAACGGCTTTTGTTTGTCGGTTCAAGTCGCTGTTGGAAAAGGCCCAAGTATCCAGGGAACTTTTTATGTTTGCGAAAAACCGTCCATGTTTCGTCCGTTTTTAGCACGAAAAAAATGCGTTTCAATAATGTTCGTCAAAAGACTAGTGAAGAACCAGATCAGGTATCAGCTGACGACTTCTAGCCGCATTTAAGGACGGGATGATGCTAATTATTATCTAAATATGCAAAAAATCCAATAGAAAGCTTCCTCGAAATGGATTCGGGAGCTTTGGATATTTTTTACTTGTCGCGTCTTTTGCAAGAAGTAATTTTTGAAGAACTAGAACAGGTTGAACCTTGCGGTTTCTACCGCCGTTTAAAGGAGGCTTCGCTTTAATCATCGTCTCAATTCTGCCAAAATCCCTCAAAAAGCGTCTTAGGGATCCATTCCGGAACTTTGGGCATTTTGAACTAAGCGCGAATTTTGCACTGCGTTCTTCAACAGTCCATATCTGAAGAACTAGCTGGGATAACGGCATGCCGCGTCTAGCAGCTTTTAAGGAAAACGCTATTTTAATACGTGTGCGAATGTGGACAAAATCGGGAACAAATCTTCTTACCGATAAATTCTGGAACTTTGGACAATTTTTTACTTAGCGCGAAGTCTTCTCCAAGAGGCGTTTGCTGAAACGTTAGTCTGCGACTTCAAGCAGCTTTTAACCTAAGCTTTGCCTGAACTATTGTGTCAATTTCGCCATAATTCACTAGAAAGCTTCTTGGGAATGAATTCCGGAACTTTGCAAATTTTTCACTAAGCGCAAATTTTGGAGCAGTCGTTGTTAAGACGTCATTTGTGAAGAACTAGAAAAGTTTGCACCTTAAAGCTTCTTGTACTCTTTAAAGGAGGCTTCGGTTTAACTATGGTGTAAATTTATCAAAAATCTCACAAAATGCGGCTTTGCAATGAATTTCGGACTTTGGGCATTTTTTGAGTAAGCGTGAATTTTGCACTGTCTTCTTCAACAGGTCATATCTGAAGAACCAGTTGGGAAGTCAGCTTGCAGCGTCTAGCCATCCTTAAATAGATGTTTATGTTAGTTTATGTGTCAATGTGGACAAAATCGAGCAGGATGCTTATTTGCAATTAATTCTGAAACTTTGGACATTTTTTTACTTTTCACGGATTTTTTACTGACTTCTTCAATGATCCAGTTCTGAAGAACGGCATCAGTTATCAGTTTGCGGCTTCTAGCATCTTTTAAAAGAAGCCCAACATTAATCATGTGGGAAATTTCGGCAAAATTCAGATGAAACCTGTGTTCGGAATGCACTTGGGAACTTTGAAGAAATTAGTATTTTGCCCGGATTTTCCACGGTCTTCTTCAAGAGGCGTTTGCTGGAGAACCAGCTGAAACGTTCGTCTGCGACTTCGAGCAGCTTTTAACC